TATAATTCATTATCAGTTTTTTCCAGCTGTATACATCAAAGACCATTTCAATTACACCCTTCCTCCACAAATTAATGAACAAAGATGTGAGCTAGCTGAAAAAAAGTCACTACACCTTCACTGACTTAGACCAAAAAAAGGTAGCTGTTGGAAAACTATCATTGATTATGAAAACCAGATAGTGATGTTAAAACTAGAGCAGTGCCACCAATTGATTAGACTACAAAATGGTCTAATGACTGTAATCATAGGATCTTCATAATTAATTTTTGAGTTAGACCTGGTTAAAATTGAATAGCTAAAATGAATGAAGAAAATAAATTCAACTATTTTCAAATCCTAAAATTAGACCAAATTATAATTATCAAAATGTGCAACAATAATATGAGGTAAGACACTATTTCCCAGATGTAAATTTCTAAGGTAAAATCCCAATAAAACCCCTAGCCCTACCTTTTAGCCCTACTCCTAAATTTTGTGCGTTCCAGTGAGAGTAGTGATGCCCCAATTTTTCCTTGCACGTATGAGTAGTGAACATACAGAGGGGTAGGAGGTATGAATCTAGCCCTTGAAAAAAAGGAATTTCAGATGGTGAATTGCCTGGAAAGGGCCAGAGATTTGCAGTTTTTTTTTTTTTTACTTCTGAAACAAAGCATTTGGCGTTGACCTTATTCTCCTAGACAACAGAGGTTTGGAGAGACAGTTTTTTAGAGGTCAGAGAACAGCGCACCAGGGAGAGAAGGCAGCCGCTTGCCGCTGCTTGCTTAGGAGGAGAGCAGGGAAGCACAATGGTAGATTGGAGAAACCCACTGCTACCAAAAAACGTCTTAAGAGCATTCCTCACTTCATCCTCTGGCAACCTTATTTTCTCTATGTTCCATTTTGATTAAAAAAGCACTATATAATTTTTCCCTATAATTTTGAAATTAGCATTTTATTACACTAAAAATTGTCAGCTGGGTTTAACAATTTTTAAAGTGTTCATACCCAAAAGGAAATAGTTAACCAAACTTAATTCCATTTTTACATTTTAAGGTTCAATTGTTTTGTTTTTTTCTTTTTAAATAAGCTTTGTCTCCTCTCTTATTGTGGTACGTATCTTATGTATGTGCATATGTAGATACCCAGTTGTTTACGTACCCAAACGTCCACTATGCAGGGCGGGGTGTCCCAATTCCTAGGCGAGATTATAAAGCCCTAACTGTTATGGCTTCAATTCAGGGAGCGTTGGTAGTGTAGCTGGTTAAAGAATGTATTCAGTTCATTCTGATCATCCTTCTGCTGGACGCCTGTGATCTTCCTGATCCCTGACCACACATCTCTGATTTTGTTCTGCTAGGGCTTGTTTTCCAGCCTCTTCCTTTTGCCTCCTTGCTTTCTCTCATTTTGACCTTAAATTGCTTCTGTATACTCCTTATTAATTCCCTGTCCTCTTCTTAAAGTCTTGTTTTTTCTTGTTGAGCAGTTGCTTCAGATCACTTGTGATAATGGTGTATCATTTTAGAAGCATTTCACTGTTCTGGTAGGGATATTGTTATCTACACAGAAGTCTATGTAGTCAGTCAGACACTGAGTCATTGCATTGATGTCCTCTCCTTGTGGCTGACACAGTGCAAACCAGTCTGTAGCCTCAAAACAACCTTGCAGGGCTTCTTTAGTTTGCCGTGACCATCTTCTTACAGTTATTTTAATGCAGTTAGTATCTTATAAAGTGTCTTATACTCTGAGCAAAGAAAAAAAAAATACTGTAATCTGATTTCCCAAGAGGAGTCCTTGATATTTGCATAAAATGAGTCCAAAATGTTTTTTTCTGGTGCAGCAGCTGACCAACTGCTGGAACATTGGCAGCGTAGCAGAGAGTGAGGCGTGATTAAAACCACCAATTATTGCCACAAATGCATTTGGCTGTTGTGTAGCTTATACCAAAATGGAACTGAGTACATCATATGTAGGGTGGGCAAAGGCAAAAGGTGAAATGTAAATGGTAAATGTAAACTCTCTGGGCAAATACTATTGGCAAAAGCCAAGTGCCAACACTTCAATATGTAATCTTCACATTAACATGTCCTGGATTACACCATCTGTTGTTCAATAACACTGCCAACCCCCCTCCTTTGTATTTTCCAGTCTTCTTTAAATCTCTGTCTGCTTGATCCTCCAGCCATATTTCAGTAAAACACATAACGCTGCATTGCCGATATTCTAGCTGGGTTCTTGCTAGGGCTTGGAGTTCTTCTAACTCGTTTCCTCACATTGTACATGATGATTGATGGAAGAGATGGCTTAAATTCCTTGTTCCTCTCTCTTCTCCTTGCTCCTGCTCTGCATCCACTGCTGCTCCTTTTTAACTCAGCTGGTACTAACAAAAGTAGTTGAAGTATTATTTCAGCTTTAGAGATGGTAAAGATCTGCTACCGGGTGTAATAAATGAACTTGCTATGCTTGCTGTGGTTATGCATCATAACAAGTATCCCAAAAAAAAAAAAAAAAAAAAAAAAAAAAAAAAAAAAAAAAAAAAAAAAAAATATATATATATATATATATATATATCTTAGTGAAAATCCCTCCAGTTTCACAGTATTCAACCACAGAGGCGAAAAAAAAATCTAAAAATGGAAAAATTAAACTGACTAAAAGAGGAGGAATAAAAATTCTCTTAGAATAGAATATTAGCGGAGAGCTAGCAGAGCTACTTCAATGTGCAGTGACCTTAAGCAGCGCAATTCAAGAACGTTCATCTTGTTGGAAAGCTTAAATCATATAAATTTATAAAGAGAAATCTGATTTCCATTAACAGTTAATAAGTATAGTAATGAATACATCACATTATTTGAGTAGCAGTAGGAATATATCCTGACTTCCTGAGGTAAATCAAAACGATGAGAAGTTATTTTCTTAAAAAAATGAGACCAAACAAAGAGAAGATTAAATTTACTTCTGACATCATTTCATTTGACCTCTGAGGTTTGATTTCCTTACAGCATTCAAAATAAATATAGCACTATGTACCAGTGTAAAAGTTAAATGTGCCATTACCTAAAGGGTAAAACAGCCACAGAAACTCACACTTAAAGTTGTACTTTCAAGCAATCTTTTTTTGTTAACCACACAGGGCCCCAGAAGGGTAGAACCAATCAGCAGGAGGGCAGAATGAGTACATATTAAACCTCAAAGAAATAGCTCAACATCTCCAATGAGCTTATTGATCCCACACAAAGATTACATCTTGGCTCCCTTATTCACACTTTCCAAATACTTTAGGAACATCTCCTCGTGTGGAAAGCTATGAACCAATAAGTGCATGCAATGTGAGATGCATCTAACTTGGATGGAAAATATCACACCTGCGAGCGAACATCAGACCTGCTTCTCTAATTTTTTTTTTTAACTGCTGTGGTTTTTTCACCACATGTTTTTTGGTTTCTCATGATCGCTCTTCAGAACATTTTTAAAGCTAAGTTTAGAGCAGAATATTAACATTGCAACACAAGCGATGATATCATGTGAGGTTTCTTTTTTTGGAGTTCTTCTAAAGAAATTTAGAGACCCTTTCAAAAACTAATCACATTTTTCAGTGATGTTTACTCATTTTTATAGATCTTAAGATGTATACAAAGCTAAAAATGTTTTCAGCTGCTGCTCCAAAATGCCCAAAAACCTTTTGTGTATTTTGGGGTCATTATATTTTATAGACAAACACATGATTGAGCATAGTAATGTGAGAAGTACGGCATGCATTTGTACTTAGGAATGTTGTTCAGGGTATTTATTTTTCCTCCATAAATCTGATCTGGCTAGAGCAGTGTTTACCACATGCTCAATCTGTCCCCTCATGACTAGGGGCAAACTAAAAACATTCACATTCTGAGTGTAAACCTCTGAAAAATCGGTGAGTCAAATGGTTTGTCCCACCCGAGTAATGGATCTCTACAACTCCTCCAGATTTACTGTAGAATTATTGAGTGCTTCCCCTATTAAAGTTTTGCTCAGCTTGGAATGCTGCTGTATAATCTAAAAGTGCTTTCAATATTTCAATTATTGTATCTCTGACCACCCTGTCTTTTTTTTTGGCCTTAATGATGATCTTGTTTTGTTTAAACAAAAAAAACTTCATATACTGAGGTTATAGCAACTACGTATCATGTTTCTTTTACTTGTTTTGCTCATTAAATATGTTTATTTTCTTATTTTTAACGTATAAAAGTGTAAAAAATTTGGCTGATTTCTTGTTTCGCAATAAATATCATCAGCTTTCTCTTATCTCTGAAAAATTCCTGCCACGTCAAGCAACAGCGTTGGGTTGACGTTATTTATAAACCATTAATAACTGTTCAAAGTTATTAATGACCTCTAATGGAGCTACTATATCTTGCGTGTTTAGTTACTCTTAAGGTTGCTTTTTTAGAAGTTCTCCTTTTGGTGCAAATATACATCTGGTGCAGCCAAAAGCAAGATGTTTTGAAGGAAATGGTCAAGAAAACCCATTAGAACACATTGTTTATATGTGAGTTAACTGCTAAAAGGTTACAGGTCACCTTCCGTTTACATCCACTCTATCTGCTGCTGCACATGCCTCAGCTGGCAAGAACAAAATAGATATGCAGCTTCCTCACTGAGTCTATATTGTTCTCTGTGAACTTCCTTAAATTTATTTCCCCAGAAGATATTTTGGTTTTCTTCAAATATGTCTATTCATGTTCCACCCAGAATCAGCTCTGATAAAGAAAAATAACCCATTAGGCCATCCTGTATGTTTGTCTTTGTTTTCATGACAACCTTTATCTCCTGCCGTTAACCCCAGCCCACTTTGACACAGTGACACTCCACAGTTCAAGCTTAAACAGGCCGGCTGTTTGCATACCTTCACACACAGAAGGACCACTGCACCATGTGGCCTACGGAAAGCTCAGCCACACGCTCACACACCTACACACAGAGTGGTATTTAAAGAGCTGGTAGGAAATACCTTCCTCTGCAAACTACTCAGAGGGATTCCTCACCTTCCTAGTTCTTCTCCAATTTCATAGAAGTCCTCCACATTCTCCTGCTTGAATACCGCCATACCAGGTGTCCTCATCGATGTGGTGTTCTCCTTGACATGAGCTGCAGAAGCCTGTAGATCAGTCTCCCGTGGAGCAGTCTTCTTGTTTATTAACTCCACAGTTTCAGCCCTGTTGATGCACACAGTGGTTCCTGTTCATTTCTGACTAAAGGCATAATTCTTTTACATTCTTTTTTTTAAACCACATGTTCCAGCTTGTTGTAGCTGCACCTACTTTTACCCAACAGTCAAGAACATCTCCACACTTTAACTTGACAAGTAGAAAATAAAAATAAAAAGAGTTGCAAATAAACAATAATGTGGGTCTATGTCCAGCTGGGCATAATAGGAATGTTTAGTTCTTGTGATTATAAAAGGATTAGGGAGGAAAAGAGGATTTCTGCATAATTAGGACACAGTGTCTGCAGTGAAACATTTATTTGGCACCAATATAACCTAATATATATTTAACTTTGTTTTCATTGGAGTGAAAATATCAAGTGTAAATCAAAAGTTGAATCTTGCCGCTAACAATTTGATACAAACAAGTACGAACAAAACCCCAAATGCCACAAACTTCCTTTCTAGAGTTTCATAAGCTGCAAAGTAAAACTTAAAGTTGTACCTTCAGTCAGATGGAGAGAAAAGGATAAACCAACATGGGTTCCAATGGTCTCCTACAGTCCCCTCATACATGAAGCAGGAACTTGCTCCTTTGGCTCTTCTGCTGCTGTCACCAATCTGCTCAGCCCCATCAGGCTTTTGTGTCTGCACAAGTCCCTCCCATCACCGCAACCCCCTCTTTACTGATGGCTCTCTTATGAAAGTATAGCGTGCAGCAGAAGAGAGGCAGGCTGACAGCAAAGATCAACGCTTATCTACCGTTTGGTTTCAGCAGGTTTTTGAGGAACTGAAAAAACATTTAATCGCTACATGGATGCAAATAAAACAACACATTAAAGTCAAGTGTTTTTTATTGAATTGATAACAGGTTTAACAAAAGCAAAAAGTTGCAGACACTTTAAAAATTTCCATCTTTAAACTGACAAATTAAGAAATTTAAAAGTTGAAGTGCTCTGTAATATTCTGAGATCTCACAATATGTTTGTGCAATACACTGCTGAGAAAAACATTAGGGAGGTGTAAAAGAAAACAGAAGTGGAGGGTTTTTAAAGGTAGCTTAATCAGAAAAAAGGACAATAAACCTTTTCTTCTAGATGTGACTTTTTTTTTTATCAGAAAAATGAAATGTTGATCTGATAAGAGACCAGCTCTCATAAAAACAATTTAAAGCAAATTATGTGTCCGTTTTATGTTGGATTTCCAAACCAATTGGGTAAGATCCTGATCTCTGCAAACAGGTTTGAGTGAGTTTAAAGATTAAGTTAGAAATTATGCTTCAAACAAACAAAAAAACTCTCTCTTTAGGTTTAAATCCCATTTTTTCCAGCCTTTCACAGTTCATCAGCCAAACACACATACAATGTCTGAGATATTGAGTTCCCCACAGCAACAAGGTATAAAGTAACATGAAGGTACCTGAATGTGGAACAGTTTCCTGCAAATGCCCTCAGCTTTCTATAAAAAAATGCTTCCCTCCTTTAAATGATTTAGATTTCTAAGAGACACAAGAAGGAACATACATTTTTAGATCAATTACACTTTCTTTCAACATACCTTCAAAATTGAGTTAAGACAAATGTTACACTGCCACTCTGTGGACAATCAAAGCAGATACAACAGCATTTTTCCCCAGGTTGGGCTCAGAGAATAGAAGTACTACTATGACCAGAACATTAAACAAAGAACTGAGCCCTGAAAGGTAAAGAAATAAAAAATAGAAGAGGTCTTGCAAGTAAGGATATTTCACTAGAAGAAACAGGGAAAGAAAAAGTTGACAACAATGTCCAACTTTCTACTCATTTAAGAATAAATGCATGTGCAAAAGAAGCTCTTTATAATGTAAATTTAAAATAAGTAACTTTGAGCTTAAATGTAAAATAGTTATGTAATAGAAATATTGGACAAAATATCCATAACAACTAAAACTGGACTGATAAATGGCACAATATTAGAAGGTTGGTTTGATTTCCACATACACATAGAAGTTGACTTATGTAGAACGTATCAGTTCTACCTGCTGTTTATCTATCCGTCAACATGTGAGAATACTTTGTACTTGTCGAGTAAATTAATTTTGTGTTTTTAGATTTTAAACTAGTCTGAATATAGATTAAAAAACAATGAAAGGTTTCAGCAAAAGACTAAAGTTACAGCATGAATAATTCAAGTGCATCAAAACATAAAAAGATATAGAATGGTTTCTTTTAGGAGATGTTGCATAAAAATAAAGAAGAAAAATTACAGCACAGAATAAAGATTTTTTTTTTTTTTAGAAATGTGAGCAAAAAAAGAAGAACAGCTATTCCTTCAAAAGGTACCGAAATGTTTGAAAATACTGTTTAGGACTGCATGTGCTGAAATGGAAGTAAGCTGCTGGCTACACACAACATGGAAATACAGCAAAACAAAAACTTTAACTGAAAAGAAAATTGGCAGGAATACTGATATAATGTGTTTGGTCCTTTAATGCTTATATGTTCAGTTCATTATTCCAACACAGACATCCGGACAGGGGGAAAATAATCCCTTTAGCAGCCATAAAGTGTCGCCGCTCTGTATAAAAAAAACATTCTTTGTAATTAAAGCGACGCAGCCGGGAAGCAAACAGCTTAGCTATCCTCTTCATCGTCGCTAACAAAGCTCCGGCGATCCAAACTGGTCTCCCTCTCCTTCAGGAATGTCTGTCTGATGGCCTCCAGCTCTGTCAGCTCCAGACGAACCTTTTCCAGGTGGAAAGAGCGGCGGTTCTGGATTTGCCTCATGGGGAATGGGTTCATATCCACAAAAGCAATGTTCATCAGCTTCCTACAAAAGAAAAAGAAATAAACATGATTTTTTTGTTACAATTACCGTTCCTGTAAAGATGCATCAGAAAGCAGGTAATACTTCTTGTTTCTGGTTGCCTTCATTCATTTAGAGCTTGGATTCTGATATAAGCAGTATGGGTGGAAATGCTCCTCCATAGCACCCCCTGCTGGTAAGCTTCATTGTGTTCTAACCCTCTGACAAGCTGGATTTGTATTTCATTTTTATTCATATGAAGTCAATTAACAACAAATGCATTGGGTCATTGAATTTGCAGCAATCCCTAACAGCACCAGCATCATATTAACAAAACATCCCTAAATTATGCATCCATTATACATCAAATTATATCATCAGTGTATCTGATGCCTAGTAAGCAGCAGCAGTTTTCTGCTTTCACATTGTACATCCTTTTTGTTTTCATTTGTGTCTATTAGCAGAGCAGAAAAGAGGATTCTCTATTTCCCTACTTACTGCTGCTCTAAACCATGCAAAACCCCAGCCCATATCAGTTCCCTGACCTTGAGTCCAGGATTGTGCGTGTGAAGTATCGAAGGTATTTGAAGATCGCTGTGGAGTCCTGCAACTTCAAAAACTCTTCTTCTTTGTACTTAAACAGTGCGAGAGCAAAACGAAACACGATCTGTAAGAGAAGAATGATTAAACATACAAACTGTGAAATCCACCCCATGACTTTGTGCTTGCACCTTTATGTGCACAAAAAAAAAAAAAAACCCTCAAAATGTCGACAAACTGAAACAAAACAAAACACAAACGTCTTCAAACAGTGATGAACAGTGTGAATAAGGTGGTTATGTTTCCTGTTGTTAGTGAGCTAAAGTACTGTCATGCACATCTCCCACATTATCTGTCAAACTCTAAGTGATATAAACTATTTCAGGCTAATTTTGAGCTTGCTATAATCAAATTGTTTTTATTAGTTTTTCATATTAAAGCAACAAACACCCCATCCAGGGCATACAAAACAAAACAAAACAAAAAGACTCCATAATTACATCACAACGACATCACAAACAAAAAAGAAAACTATCAACAAGACAATTACTACACCCGCACATACAACCCATGTTCCAGACATCCATGGATTGAAAACCAAAAACATTAGTATGAATAACAATCATAATAATAATAATTCCGCCAAAAAAAAAAAAAAATGCTGATTATGCTGAAGCAGATTGAACCTCTGATTCAAAATAGGAAATAAAAGGTTGCCAAATCTGGAAGTATCTCTTATTGAGCTTGCTATAAAATCCTGATCAAAGACCCTCCAGTCTGCAGCTGTAGCATGCATTTTTTTCTTACAGTCGTAGGGAAGCAGCTGTTCTAACTGTTGCAGCTCCGAATTCTCCCGAGTGGTGCCTGACTTTACACGAATGAATAAAGTGAAGTGATTGGTCGTTTATCAAAGGGATGGGATTGTTGTGGCGGAAGCTTCACAGGCGTTTTGGTTGTCGCCGGTGTCTCGGAGCTAACCAGTTAGCATCTAGTGCCAATAGGTTCCCAATGGGAAATTCCATTGGGACCAAGCGGCACTAAATTGGTGACTTCGCAACAACACTGTCAAGGAAGGCTATGGAGAGCGGAAACATGCAAGAGGAGGAGAGTTTTGAGTCGGAGGTCATAGTTGAGTCTCCTCCGTCATAAATTTTTTATTTAGAGGAGGAAAGCGGGGACGAAGATGCTGTGGAAGAGGACGCCAGGGCGGCAGAAGCTTGGTTTGGTGTAGAAGGCTTACAGCCGTACATGTTTGAGCCCTTGCCTCGCAACGCTGCCAGTTCTGTTAGCTCTACGCCTGCTGAAGACACAGACGTCCATCCCTGTGAACACTGGGACGGAACTCAATGGGAAAGTAAATCATTCTTATTTCTTATTTTAACCGTTGCGTATATTAGCTGTGACATATAAATTTAGATGCTATGACTGAAAAAATTTGGTTGACAGATGACCGTTGATATATGATTGGCCGAATTTAGGTGTTCAGGCTGATGCATAACTAACTGGCCTGCATAAAATAACAAAAAAAACCCACAGATTTTAGGACTGAATTTTTTTAGAAATAGAATTTTTTTTACTTTTGGGAGAATAAAGAGTACATTTATATACATGTTTAAGCCAGAATGATTTGAAACTTAAATATGACTTCCCTACAACTTTAAGTTTATGATCATGTTAAAAGAAAAAAAAAGAAAAAAAATCCATCCTGCTTCTCACCTTTGGCCCTTCGAACAGAAAGGCGTCCCAGATCTTAAACAGGATGTCGCTCACCACGCTGTCCACAAACACCACCAGGAACCAGTTGAAGGTGATGAGGGAGAAATCCACCGTGTGCTGCTCAAAGTGGGCATGAAGGCGGGGCAGCTTCTCACTCATCAGGTCTCTGAACACGCGCTGGTCGACCTGCGGGACGTTTTTCACATTTGCAAGAAGTCGGCGACAAATTTTTACAGAAAAAGGTCATCAGGTTTCAAAAATTTAACTAAACTAAACTTCTTACCTGAGAGCCAAGCAGAGTCTTTGTGTAGTAGTCTCTTGGCATGAAAACCTCTACGATGGCAACAAGAGTCCAAAAGGCATCTTCTTGGTCTAAGTAGAGCAAAGCAATTGCTGCAAGCCTAAAAAAGCCACATGGATTAAACAACGATAAATGATAAGAACGAAAAAGAGCTAGCGATTTTAAAAGCAGAGTTATCAGTTCTGATGTACCTGTTCAGACCCTGGCAGTAGCCGATGTCTGGATTCCTCCATGAGAAGGCCACCAGGACGTTCCTGAGTTTGTTGATCCCTCCTGCGCTCGGGGAGGCGTAGTGCTTGTTATTAGGCAACGTTCGTAGCAAGTCCAGCTCGATCTGCTTTGATGCCGGGTTGGGCCGATCCCGCGCCACCTTCAGCAGGGTCTCGTAATAGTCTGGAGCCAAGTGGTCGCGGAACTTCTTGACGTGCAAGGTGACACACCAGCGCCACACTAGGGAGCGGTGTTCGTGGGGCACGCCGCAGCGGATCAGGGATTTTAGCTCAGGGGAACGGACCAGATCTCTGTTCATGGTGCCGGTCAGAAAGTTCTCCCACTTCACCCCGACAGAAACCTCCTGGTCGGTCATGGACAGAGACTTCAGCTCAAGGGCCCTCACCTTCGCAACCAGCCTCTCCTCCTCTTCCTCCTCCTCAGGGACCGTCTTGAAGCCGTAGATATCATACTCACTGAGAGATAGAAATTAAAGAGTTTAATCACCTACAAACATTAAAGCATGTACAAGGGGCCTATATCTCAAAGTTTCTCAGTGCTGGCCCAAAGAGTGCCTGAACTGGTTTAAAAGTAACAGCAAATTATCAAGTGAAACCTCAGAAGCAGCAGAGTTCTAAATATTTAGGAGCAGCTATAAACAAACAGTTCGCTGATCTTCCAGGGCTGCTCTAACTTCTCTAACAAACATTTCTTTCTTGCAGAATTCAGCTGAAACATGACTGAAGTACGACAAACTTATTTCACGTTCTATCAGATTATAGCTACTGATTATAGACAGCTAGTTAAAAACTGTTTTTCCCTTTTAAACACAAATTTAAAAAGTGAGGCATGAGTTTGTTAATTATTTTATGAACACCTTTCACTGCAGTTAAAGCCGCAACTGTGGACGTGCTTCTGAAAAACCACTTCTTATTTCTGGATTTAGATCTGGACTTTGAATAGGACATTCTGAGACATGAATAAGCTTCGCTCTAAATCATTTGAGCTCATCTCTGGCTGTAAGGTGCTGAATACCCTAGTATCACACTCACCATGATGCTGCCTTCACCGTGCTCAGAATGATCTGAACTAATCGTTTTTCATTCGAACATATTGTCAAGTATTAAAATCAATCAAACTTTATCCCCCAATAAAGGGCAATTCAGTTTACAGCTCTCTCTGGTCAACATGGCAATTATTTAATAAAAATAAAACATAAACACAATTTATTTCTCTCATATAAGCAAAGGACTGTCTCTGATATTCAATTAAATTCAAAAGTACGTTCCTAGTCTCAAAGGGAAAATAAAATATAAGTCGTCAATAAAGTTAGAGACTTAAGATTTTATGCGTCATTTTGTAAACACAAGTGTATAGAAAAAGAAATTTTTTTTTAGTACAGATCTTTTTCTTTTTTTAAAGTGCAGCCTTGATAAATGTAAGCAGCAGTGATAAAAACACTATGATGAAAGAAAAACGTTCTTAGTTTTATGAAAAATCCTTTTAGTTAAATGATCACCAAAGCTTCTAGAAGAATTCAGGATTCTTTTTATTGGCTTTTAATGTTTTATGCAATACTTATAGTAATAGTTTTCCCGTAGACTTATGGGTCTCTGCACTTCCTCTATAACCGGGTTGTTTTAGACTGTTTTCATTTTCAGATGATGAACCACATAGAGCCACATGTCCAAATCTGTGGATAGTGTTAATAACCTAACCCCATGTTAGACATCACATCTTCTATTTAGAATCTCCATCCTTCACATAACTGGATTTATACTGAGATCAAAACTAATGAAATTCTCTGTCCTTTATTTAGGGGAATGAAAACTGAAAATTATTGAGATCGTAGATATGCAAAGTTAGAAGAATACCTGACAGTATTTGGTTTGAAGATGTGGTTTTCACTCTGTTCAGGGCTCTCCACCTGCAGGGCGTCCTCCAGTAATCTGGAAATGACTTCCCGGGCCGGGTTCTGTTCAGATGAACAGACGGGATTTCTAACCTCTTGAAGCAGCACCAAATATTTACTCTCCACCTGACAAAGCTTGGCCTCCAGAGCCGTACACTGCAGCAAGGACAGCAAAACAATGCAGAGGCATTTTTATTACTCACATTTCTAGGTTTGCGGAGCTTCAGCTCAATTCATCTGAATTTATTCATATTAACTGCATGTTTTTTTAACCTTTGCTTCTAAAGCCTTTTCTCGAGTCTCTGCGTTCCTGCGCAGGACCGTCAACTCCAAGATCTCTTTATTCAAGAACTTGTTCTGGGATTTGTAGCCTTGAAGACTGTCCTGAAATTAGAAAAAGAAAATTAAAGTAAGATTGTCAATGAGATTTAAAATAGAAATCTTTTGATTTTGTTTTCTATCATTAGGACCTTAAGAATGCTGAGTTCCGGCTGAGGTGGAGGAGAACCACTCTCCGTCAGATTCCCGCTCTGCTCCGAGTTCTCCTGAGACAACTTCACGATGACTTGATCTTTGGCCTGGATGGTCTCCATCAGCATTCCCAGCTGGTCGTTAATTTCACCCACTTTAACCTTCAGGCTCTTTAGCTCCTGCTGCAGGCTCTCTTTCTCCAGTGAGAGACGCTCCATGTGTCCACAAAGCGCCTGGATTTGACCGTCTCGCTCCTGAAGCAGCGCCTCCAGCTGGGCCACATCCTCCTGGGTCACTGCGGGACTCTGAACCTGGTCCGGGTCTGCGGATGGATCCGGAGCTGCTCGACACACGCTGGGCCTCTCACACTGGGAGCTTCTAAGAGTCTGCTGCAGAAGTCGAACCAGCTCCTAGAAGGGGAGGCAATTATGGCGATTATTCCTACAGTCATTGGAAACAAAATACAATATAAAACAAACATAAAAAATAAAAAAAATCTTTGGCATTTGTAAAAAAAAAATAAATAAATCTTATAATTCATCCAAACAGCTAACATTACAAATAAACCGATGTTCAATTGTTAATTACATTTAATATTGGTTGGAACAAAATTGGAGATACAGAATGAACACAGGAGAAAAAATTTCAGACAACAGCTGTTCTAGCTCATTCTAATCCCAAATTAATACTTCTCATTCTTCTAATTTACATTATGTCCGCACCGCTGCAGTGCGAAACCCACAGGAGTACCAAGGAGCAGACACAGACCGCACATTAAGGCCGTTTCTCAATACGTGTACTTGTGTGTTCTCATGTGCTCGTGTACTAGTGAAACGTCCTCAGCCCTAGTGCTATTCCAATTCACAAGAACAGCTGACCGAGAACAGACAAAGTCCCCGGATGTTGTTCTCGCCCCTCCCCATTTACCCAGTATGCATCAGAATAGACTTGTCCATTCATGACAGCTGTCCCAGCATGCACTGCGGCAGCAGCAGCTGCTTCCAGGTTAGCACTTCAGAACTCGGAGTATTGAGTTAAAAGTTCTCTTTTCTGTTGCTGTTGCTCAATAAAAGTACCTTTTAAGATCATTTGAGCGAGAATATTATACTTTATAGCGTCACTATATGGTCCATTTACTGATTTAATGTTTAATTTAAAAGAAAAATTCAAAGTTGGGAGGACTGTGGCAACCAGAGGACCTCCGAGGCTAACGGCAGCCAGGGCTAACCCATCTGCAGCAGCCCTCTCTCGGCATAGCCGTGTGTGTGAAGCACCGTTGGCTCTGATGCCAATTTTTGTGTTTTATTTGGCAAAATGTTCATTTGATTTGTGTTTGACTGTGTCCATTATTATTCCCCCACTAAATGAAAAAAGTAATAATTTGTTATTATCTAGAGACTTTTAATAACAGAAGGTGCAGTTATGCAGCTCTAGACGAGCCGGGCATGTGGCGACATCATGAGTACGCCACGACAAATCCTCCATGGATTTTAAAAGTTCTACTTTTAAAATCGAAGAAGTTTGAATTTTGAACTTTTAAAAGTTCAAACTTCTTCCCTTATTTATTTTCAGCCATCTAGATACCTTCTTCAATAATCTACAATGGGTGAGCAAACTTGGTGCGGAAAAGCTAAATTTGTTGCTTACATTTCTGCATTTAATGTTCAATCATTAGGCTTTTATTCCTACGTTAACATATATACAGCCCTGTCATTGTTCTAATGTGTCATTGACAATGATTAAAGCGAATATGTTAATCCTGCAGAGTCAATAACTGCATGCAATCAGCTGGTTTCTCCCAGATGGAAAACATAACCAATCTGATCTGATTAAATTATCTCTCTAAGGTGTCCTGGAATTACATGTGTTGTGAATTGGCTCTATGTAAATAAACTGATTTGAATTGAATTATATACAAATATACTCAGAAATGTCTTAATATATCAAGGCTTTAAACAAATAAAGCAGTCCGTTAACCATTTAAAAACTCTAGATGCTGTGATCATTCAGTTTCCGGTTGGAGTGAAGGCATTTCTGAATACATACTGTGGTCTTGCCGTCTGCTTGCTGCCACACGGTGCAGAGACACTAAATGGTCTTATTTGGCGTATCGGATGCCATCTAAATTAGGTGTTAAGGCCAAAAAAGGCAAGACAGGAAGAACAGGATCTCAAACGCAAGCGGCTCAAAATGAGCAAAATTTAAATGTGTCAAAGGCTGCAGGAAACTGGAGCAACGTTCCTGCTTCTCTGAAAAGAACCAGTTGAGCTGGTTAAGATCTATGTTCTTAGTTAGATCAACTGTCCCAAAGGGAGGCTCCCTAGCACGTCTAATATCTCAGACCATGGTTTCCTATCAACAGAGTTGAAAAGATGAGGTCAAGGGGTCAAAAATAGTTTTCACTGATTTTACTACTTTAGATAAAATAGAGGGATGTAAACCTTTATTGTTAAATATAAGCTTTTTATTTATATTTTTTTGTTAATTCTACTTATTTTCTGTTTTGAACATTTTAAAGCAATTCTTTATAAAGTGGCTGCACGTCAGAGAAGACCGCAATCATTGCATCAGATGGTAAAGGGCTGAAGTGAAAAACGGCAAAAAGATCCGTTTGAGAAATGGACAAAAAAAGAGAACAGGAAGTATTGGAAAGAAGCGCAGCAGCTGTGATTGTTTTCAACAGAACTGCTGTTTCCTTGTTTCTGACTGAAGCATGACTAATCAGTCCCTGCCTTCCTGAATCAGTGAGAGCTTTAGGAATGACATAGAGTCTTTTAGCCTGACACAGCAAGAACAGGTTCACAAACTCCTAATGAAAGAACTCTGCAAAAGACCCTTCCTTGCTATAATATGAACTGTGCCTTTATAAATCATGACTAACTCGGTACAAAGACAAGTGAGTGCACCTTCTGGCTGGCCAGCTCCTCCCGCAGCTTGAATTGCTCCTGCTGCATCTGGCTCAGCTCATCCTGTTGGTTCTGGAGGCGGAGCTGCATGTCCAAAGCTTTGCTGCCGTTGCATTCCCCCGTCGGACTCTCGGAGCCTCGCCTCTCCATGCCCCGCCCTTGCTTTCCAGATCCCCTTACGTCTCGAAGCAAAAGCCTCTGGGGTCGCTGACGGTTCCGCACAAAATCGAAGGTGAACGCCGACCCAAAAGAATCTGAGTGAAAGGAGGGGCACATGTGGGAAGAATACGAGAGGAGTACAGAGCTCCAGGCAATCCAGGATGAATGAGAGTGGACTTACGCCTCTGTGTTTCTAGATGATGCTTCTGATCGGGGAAGTCTTTGGGTGGAGCTTCCACCAACTCCCACTCTTCTGAGTTGCCGGTGTAAAAGACGCTGCGTCTGTTCTCCGCTCGGCCAGGTCGCAGATTAGACATAGAGTTCCTGAGAGATAGGAGAAACCAGTTCAAACCTGATCCTCTGCAACTTTGTAAATATTTGCAATCATTGTTCAAGTTCTTAACGTCAGCTGAGGACAAGGCCAGTGCAAGAAAACGGAGAGTGTAACACATCGCACCAAAAGAACTGAATGGACAGGATGTCTCTTAGTTTTCAAATCTAGAGAAAAAAGTGGAGAAGAGTTGGAAAAAAAAAAAACTGCCTGCAGTGACACAAGTCATATAGGTGCCACCCAAAACAAGGGAGGACGATACTCTGGTCAAATAAGATCAAATTTTCAGTTTCTGGCATAAAAGCAAAATGCTGGGTGTGGAGAAAAAGCCCTGAACGCACCGTGCCAACAGAACAACACTGTAGTGGCAGCATAATGCTGTGGGGAGGTGATCATTTAATAGGGAAAACTTGCAGCAACATTATCATCTAGTTTGCAAATTATAATATTATTGGCAGGTCACATCATATTATTGGTAGGGACAAGTAGGTTGGTCATAAATATCGGAATGGACATGTCCCTATGGTCGCTATGCAAACCTAAGCCCATGGTTTAGAATTTCTAGTTTTAAAAAAAATTAAAACATCTTATTCTTCCCAATAAGACTTATGGGCTTTTTTGTGTTAATTATTTAGAATCTCATTAGCAAAAAGGGAAGTTCCAGATAATAGGACAGAAAGTTAGCAAGCAATGTTTTATTACAGCAGAATGAAATAAATTCTGATGCAGTTTCACTGTTAAAGTGGAAATGTGATACACATTCAGCACCCATTATGAGTCTCATTTTAAAACCACTTAGGGTCTTCCCTTTTGTTTTCGAGTAAAACTGTTTACTCCATAAAAGAGGAAGTCTGGATTGTTAAAAAACGAGTGAACTACAGACGTGACCACTTCCTCTGCTACCGTTGGTCTAAGGAAGAACCAAAAGGTGTTTTCTTCCCTCATTAGGGACAAAAAGCAGACAAAAAACCCAGCTGGTTTGGCAGTAAGTGGGAAAAAAAACAAAAAACAAAACAAGGCTCTTTGTAATAAAACAGCCACTGATACAAATTAGGCTTTGAAGAGCCTTGGCTGGGCTTTACCTGAGCTCGGTACCAAGGTTTTTAAGGGAGAAGGGCCCTCTGGCAGACTGGATTCCCACCATTCCTCCTACATCAGTGTCTGTGTCCATGGCAAAGTCGCTGCGGACCTTCTCCATGCTTTCACATAGTTTCTCAGAAAATACAGCATCTGAAAAAAAGACAAATCATTAAAATCAAAGGATATGATTCGCCTCAGGCTAATACACTAGATAAACCTACAACGTAAAACGACACAGTAAGTTTGGACTCATAACTATTTTTAGCTCACTGGAACATTTAGATTCAGCTCTCTAATGTCCAGCAGCACAACTAAAATCAGATACTGATTTAATGGTAACAGTTTGATAAATCATCTATAAGCACAGAGCCAATAGTGTCAGTGAACGCCAATGCTTCTTGTTATACTTCAGTCAAACAACAGGTTATCAATTACCTTTGCTAGGTTACTAAGAAAAGCCTTGACATTGTAGCCTGTCACACAGAAGCTTGAAAATACCCCCCGCTTTAGCTTTGAACTGAAGCTAAAAAAACACTCATCCAAAAATGGGTTAAGAGTCTATGTTTGATTGCTGCTTATGAGCAATAAATACACTGCCTGGGGTATTTTTGTTAAAAAAAAGCTTTAAATATTATATATAAACTTTGGTTATTGTTTGTTTAATTTAAGAGTTTCCTGCAGCTGTACCAAAAGTTTTCACAATGGTGGCTGATTGGTGCAAACTCGCAGTGAGCGATGAAACGAGCTGCAAAAGTATGTGTGATGCAAAATATAAAAGGGCTTTGCACAAAAAAAAAAAAATGCTGCAAACAAAAGTATACTGCTAGCAAAAATGCTGCAATCACAGCGAGAAAATTATGACAACAGTAAAACAGCAACAGCGAACTTGCACCACAAAATGGAGGTGCTCCAGACCACTAGAGGGAGTCGAACAAACAATATTGAACCAGACTCTTCATACAAACAGGGAGTCAAGCTTTAACGCTGGATTGATCATACAACATATATAAAACTGGCTGCAAAAAAACAAGGTCTATAAATGAGTAAAAATGTCTTAAAATAAGTGTATTTACCCTTAATCTGAGTTGGTAAATAAGGTGTTCTGCCCAAAAAAAAATCTGTATTTTTACCGTGAAAATAAGAATTAGATATTATGGACTTGAAATAAGAGACTTTAGCTGTTTCAGTCTTATTCCTTTTACAAAGTGTCTCACTTACCTGCTCAATTCAAGAAAATAAAAATAATTATTAATAACTTAGAATTCTTGCAGTTTAACAACCCCATCCGACATGGTTTATTCTTTGTTCAAATCCCTCCAGTGTTCTGGAACGCAACTGTTCTTTTTAAAGTTTGCAGGTTTTTTTTCTTCAATATTTGCATGATCTTCTTCTCGCTGTTGCAGTATTTTGTTTTTGCATGCAATGTTCTTTTGGCTGAACTTTTTTGGTTGATAGCAAGTTTTTGCTCCAGTCTCAGTGACTGCAGCATTTTTTTAGTTTGCTGCATTTTTCTGTTGCTTTTGTTTTTTTGTGTAATCATTGCTCTATTTTCAAATATTGTAGATTCTTTGGTAAAAACATCCAGAATAAAAGTCCTAGATTGTTACAGTACAGTTGGCCATATTCCACTGCTAGCATTGGTTAATGCAAGACAAAAACGCATTACCTGGATGATATTATAGGCCCATATTAGTGTTTTTTTTTTTTTTTTAGATGGAGGCCTTGAAAGCCTGCATCACTCCATCTATAGTTAAAGCCACTAGGGCTGGGTATTTTCGCCAAAGTCCTGAATTGATGTGATTTTGATTAACACAGTTCTAAATCGATCAATTTCGATTTGATCTGTTTTTAAAATAATGAAAGTGGTTCAACTGTGTTTCAAAATACTCATGTATTTTAATTTTTCCTGTCACATTAAACACAACGTGCAAACTTGTAAATCACACTGTATAAACTTGAGATGTGAACAAAACTGTCTCATAAGTGCTAACTTGTTTGTGAAAAGTGAAAAAGTGAAGCCTCACTTGAGCAAGCGGATGTGACACGGCGGGGACACAGCAGGCATGCATGAGCTGCATTATCTTCACTGCACAAACTATATTTGCAGCGTTGTCTTTAACAACTACAGAGTGTTTTTTGATCAGCCCCCATGTCTTCAATCAACCTACTGGCTATATTTGCAGCTGTCTGGCTTGAACTAATCTTGAGTGCATCTTTCCTGCTCATTTGAATGTAAACGCCACACGCGTCACTATAAAACTAATCAATCTCAATCCCTATTTTCCAAAAATGTAAAGGAATTGATTCAAAATCGATTAAATCGATTTTTTTAGCCAGCCCTAAAAGCCAGTAAAGACACTGGATATACCTTTTTGGAGATCGTCTAACATCAGTTCAGCGATTTGACATTCAAAACTCAAGAGAGCGAATCAGTCTCTTCTGTTTGAACATGAAAATAAGCAACCAAAAAATCCATTTGTGTGCAACTTGTGTCTTTTTGTCTTTTAGATCTAATGTGGCTCACGGTGAAAAGCAATACTTTTATAACAGAAACCACACCAATATGATCAATGCAGCCACCACACAGGTGCCCTTTAAATATTGAAACGATAAGCATAAATATAGTAAATCTGTAAACACTAGCATGGGAACTGCTGGCTCACAGCTCTGTATAGAGGAGCATAATCAGAGGCTGCTGGTAGCTCAGTGTTTACCCATCAAACTACATTTTTCCTTGTATGCACATGTTTAAAGAAACATTCAAAGAAATGTACATTTTTATGAATCATTAAATTACAATAAAGTACTTTTACTATTAAATCACTATGAAATGATTAAAGACATCCATATAATATGTATAACGCTTTTAAAATATACATTAGCAGCCTCTATGGAATATGAAAAAAAAAAAAATCACAGACTAGGAGGATGGCCCATCATCTCAGTGGAGCTCAGAGGTTTTGTTATGCATCAAATCTCTATTCATGTGCAACATGCTAGCCTAAACACCCCTAGATGAGCAAAGATAAATCAGGTATTTGAGCGTTTTGAAGATAGACAGATATAATCAGAGAGAAAATGGAAAAACATGTGGGCTGTGTATAGAAATAGGAAAGGAAGCAGGATTCACAGTTCGTGTCACTCAGCTGAGAATAAAAAAAACCTGCCCCTCAGGGAATGCACACTACAACCAACAAATGGAGAGTTGAGGCTGAAATCAGCTTTGAAAACATTTTTAACCACACGTGGGCTCAGACTCAGACTCTTTAAGCCCAACTCAGAATGTTTATCAATTTAATGACGCCAGCATCCAGGAAAAGTACACTCAGATAAAAAAATTCCCTATCAAGCTAAAAAAAAAAAAAAAAAAAAAGAAGAAGAAGAGAATCAGAACTGGTGATTAAAAACAACAAGAATTTGCTTAAAGATGGAATACTAATCTCATAAACCACACGAAGTCAAAACGAACACGAAACGCTAATATTTTCCAGAACGTTTGTCGTAAAGACAGAGACGTAAAATAAATGTGATCGTCCACACGAATGCATGAAAACGCTGCAAAATGTATGCCAGGCCTGTAAGTGGCGCTGTGGTGCCAAAGCAAAAATAGGCGACGAAATGTTGGGCATGCGCACTAATATTTATACGTTTGCCCTGCGGGTCCATTTTCGTGGTTCAGTCAAATTCAGGTGCTGAACTATGTCGTCGATATTGCTCTGTTCTTCCTGGAGATATTCCAGAAGAAGAAGATTCTGTTGTAAGCCCGACAGCAGGGTGAGTAGCATGAGCAGCAACCATTCAACACAGTACGGCGCCATTGTTGTTGTGATACTGTGTCGCGCATGCGTGTTTAGAGGCGACGCTATGATGCAAGCGTGTAAGAAAAAAAATGCGGTTAGAGCTTAAAGATGGAAACGCGAAAACGCCGTTTCAAAATCTTCCCACTCTGAAGGCTTAATAAAAAAAAGATCGTTTACAGACCCCGAAACGCCGGCTTCGTATGGATGAGAGGCTGGTTTGGTGAAAAATTTGTGCGTTTAGGCCAGGGTTTGGCTTCGTGTGGACGGGGCCTAAAGCAGGGGTCGGAAACCTGCAGCTCTTTAGCGCCCCCCTTGTGGTTCCCTGGTGCTTTATCAAAAATTTATGAAAATTTAATTTTTTGGGTTTATTTTAATATGGTGTGCAGGAAGTCAAACAGAAATTCTTTACGTTTTCCAATGCTGTAAACATTTGTATAATAAATACATTTAAATGAACAAAAAAAACAAATGAAAATGTGCGTCATAGACTTAGAGATCACTGGTCAAAGCCTGCAGCAAAGAGAGCAGTGGGTCTGCCTTGGGCCATGGATCCCAAAGGGAAAAAAAGGACGATACCAGACGAGAACAAGGGATTCAAAGAAGAATGGACCAATTCCTTTGCTTTCGTTATCAATGCAGAAGGATTGCCTGCATTTTTGCTTCGGCATGGAATTTGTCAAATTATAAAAAAAAAGAGTAATTTGGAAAGGCATTTCCAGGGAAGGCTAAATATGCAGCCGATCACAAAGTAGCTGACAAAGTGCGATGGCAGAACTTCTGAATAAATTAGAGGAGAGCAAAGATAGATTTAAGAAGTGGAGTGCATCTCCAAACTCCACTACTGCTGCTAGTTTTGCTTCAAGCATGAAAAAAACGTCCCCAGATCAAGCATGTAGTGCTCTGATGCAGGTATGTGAATTATTTTTTAAATTTTTCCTCCCCAAAATCCTCAAAATAAAAATAAAACCAAGGAATGCTGGTGATGGAGAATGTGGGATTTCAGGGTTAGAAAGCTCTGCTCTGATGGATGTCAGTTCCTGCTTGGTTCCTCATGACTCAAACAACTTCTCCCAACAGAAACACATAGAAACACCATAGAAAGATTCCTTTATTGTGCTTCTATGATTTCATCAATACAAAAAAAAATTAAACCGAGCAGCGAAGGGGCGCGCGGTGAATTCCATGCGGTGAGTGTTCACTGCTCCTCCCTCACCTCATGCTACTATGTGACATTTGCTCCAGGATTAACATTTAATCATGAATGCTTACTGTATATTTAAGCCCACATAGTCCCTTTTTTATAGTGGTCTAATACACTTAGAGCCCGTGTTGTCATAAGAGGCATATATAAGACTTTTACATTTTTGCGGCTCAAGACAGAATTATTTTTTTGGTCCAATATGGCTCTTTGAGCAGTTTGGGTTGCAGACTGACCCCTGCACTAAAGCATGGGACAATCTCAAGTCATTCAGAAAGCAAAAGAACTAGAACACATAGAAACAATGATGATCAGTAGATGGATTGTTGTGGTCCAATCAGTTCATAGTTTGGATGATCTGATGTAAATATGCGCCAGATGCAGATGTTCATCTGGTTAAAGGGCATCGCAAACTTCTATGGACCCACCCCTCAGGATGTTAACAGGACCATCAACACACATCGGTGTGGATGTTCTGACCAGAGGAAGAAGTTAAAACATGAGCTATATTCAGCATCTGTTATAAGCAGGAAAATAAAATCTTAACCAAAATATTTTTAACTTCTCAACTGAATTTTCCACAGACTGATGATGTGAAGACATCAGTTAAAGGCACACTATGCAACATTTTTCAGTTAATTAATGTGTTCCATAACGTTTTGGATGATTAAATGAGTCATTTCAGGTCGAACAAAGGTATTCTCGGCCGCCCTGGTGGTCTGTGGGGGAAATACCTCACTTCCAATTGCAGGAGCGCCGACCCGCACCCACAGGCTCAGAAGTCTTGCGAGAGTCGGTCTCGCTTTAAGGCGAGAACTGCTACACGCCCCCAGTTAAAAGCATGCTCGTTGCTAGCACAGTGGCGATCTTTGTGCAGTGCTGCGTTCACACCGGACGCAGCAAAAGCAGCAAAATCGCGTCTGCTGCTTCATTTTTGCTGCTTGTACCAGTTAGTTCTGACGCGCGGCTGAAGCAGCTTTGCTGCTCTGGCTGCGCGGTGCAAAAGTGGGTCTGACGCGCGTTGGGCGGAGCTTCACTATCCTTTCTCTGCCTTGCAGCTATATTTGCTGTGATCAGTGGGAATAAAGTAGTTTTAATATGTTTTTAAGTGAGAAAATACACCTGAAAACGTAATCAGTGCAGTCAGTTCATTCAGATTATTCTCCTGCCTTACAATATTTTTTCTGTCGGAGCCGCTCAGACCCCCACATACCAGCAGTGCGCAGACAGTAGGAATCCCTTCATCAGCAGCCTCTGGCCGGGTCGCCTCCTCGCGGTTCACCGCGGCAGCTGGTAGGTGTTTTTCATCTAAATAATCCAAACTGCAGGCAGCAGGATAATAAAAGTGAACATATTCTGCCGGCAGATTTCTGCATTTTAAGTTAATTTAGGCGTCAATAAACTGTTTAAAAGGAGTGATCATAGCGCTCTGATCATCAGCGCTGTGTCTCTCTCCCTGCCAGCTCCCAGATCAGCTTCTCTGATTGGTTGACGCGGTGCGTCGAGCAGCAAAAATTAAATTTTTCCATCTCGAGCAGCAGCGCGTTTGCGGCGCGTCAGATGCTTAGTCATTCGTTGCGTTCGCCTGTCTGCTAAGCTCAAAACAACCGCGCCTGGCTTGACGGAGAAACCAGGAGAACAGCTGTGCATATTTATGACAGTGCACTTTTACTTTCGCCCTCTGGGGGGAGCCTCGCAGGAAAATCAACACCGGTTGCATAGTGTACCTTTAAAGCTCTAATGCTATTGATGTAAACTCACTGAGCATCACACTCTCTCCGGGAGAGGCAAAAAAAACCCCTGAAACTAAATAGTTTTAATAGCTCTGATGTAGCAGCAGGCTAAATATTAATCCACTGCCGTGCTGTGTGGGAATGGTGGGACCATTGCTAAACGTGTCTTCCTGCCTACCGTTATCTTTGCCAACAAGGCCGGTGGGAGGGTAGACCAAGGTGGGAGAACTCCAGCTGTCTCTGTTTCCGGTTCCTCTGGTGTTGTTGTACTCCCAACGCTTCTGCTGCAACTCCTGGAGCCAGTAATGCATCACCTGTCGGCTGGGGGCCTGGAAACAAGTGCAAACACACAGCAGGTTATTCACTTCTATCGCAAAGACTTCCTCTTTCAAAGGCTGCAGCGCAGAAGTTTAGATAGGGATAGGACAGTTTCCAGTGTTAACAGAAAAACAATGGTTAAAACAGTTACCTATTAAGAGCTGCTGACATTTGCCATAAAAAGTTATACAGCCAGCTGCTTGAAGCATAAATTAACATATTCGGCTTTCTCTACCTTTTCGCTGTTATAAAACAATGGGCCTCAATCATTTTCATCGCATGTTGCGCCTCTTGCCTCCATCAGTAGCTTACATTGTCCATCTTGCTTTTGCTAGACACGTTTTTGACACCATTTTCAGAACAAATGATTTTCCTTTTTTATTATTATTCTTATTCCTTCATTTTCACTTCTGTAACAGTACAAGCATGTCATTTAAAGCTCTTGGGGGGGGGGGGGTAAATTATTCAGATTGAAAAATTCTTATCATGTTTAAGAGGATTTGTAAGAGGCAATGGTAGGAAAAAAGCTAAATTTATGCCAAATATACAAAAACTTTGCTGCATGAGGCCCACTGGCTCCAACTGTTTTCCCTTGCTTCCAAGACAAACTCACCTGCTTGGAAGGAGATCTGATCTAGTGCCTCGGAGCATTTTTATTTAATTAAAGTGATCACTTAAAAGCTATTCAATGGAATGGTCCGGCCTTTATTTGAAAAACAGAGACGAACAATCAGCTGCCTTTGAGCTGATGATCAAGAGCCCAAGAAGAAGAGTAAAAGGTGAATTATACTTCTGCAACCGCACACATCAAATGTCGCTTGGGTCTGGTCGCGAACCAGTTTTGCTGGTATGCTTCTGCAACGTCGGTCTGGAATTTATAGGGACGCACAGCAGTTTCCCGCCAAAGGGCTAGGGGGAGCCTATTCGAAAACTTGCGAGAACTTCTTCGGCGGCGCCGGCGGGAGTGTTTATTTTCTAAAACAACATGTCTGAGGCATCGTACAAGTGGTTGTACTTCCGAACCACCTCGATCAACCTTTTGTCGTAGTTATCCATTGTTGTTATTACTCCTCGGTTTATAAAAATGGCGCGCTCCGGCACCGAATCGAGAAAGACGACCACACAGACAGACGGAAAGGCATACAAAGGACCAATCACAGCTGCTTTTTGTCTGCGCACTTCCGCTTGAGGTCTGCACGGCTTTGTGACCGTCCGACATGTAGTCAGGAATTTTTTGAGGTGCACAACGGAGGTTGCAGAGTCTCCGCGTTGGGGGCGTGGTCACAGAGACAGATTTGACGGCTGCAGAGGCTATGCATCAGAAGTATAAATTGGCCTTAAAGTGTCTACAGTTCTAAGATGCATGAGGAGATTAATACAGCTGGATTTCGCACCATCTGAAATTCATCTTGAACTGGTCTGGAAAATCTAGAGAGCTGCACGTGATGCTGAGATGTTTTTAATTGCCAAAATCATCAATTTCAATTAATATGTGTCTTATATTTGGGCTTAGCTGGAGAAAACCGGAATATTGCCTGATTCTGCAAAGCAATTGCTTGAACTAAACAATTACTAAAGCTCTGGTGCCCCACGAGGATGGCATCGCTGGATTTTATCTACATAGATGGTAACAGTATTGTTGTGGCACCCTATAATCCATTTTAGATCAAATATTTAGGTATAATTTAGCTAAGAATAGAGGCTTGAGGAATACCACTTTGTTCATACAAACAAATATCTGTCAGAAAAATGTTGGAAAGCACAAGATTATTTATTTTACAAAAAGCAGTGTAACCACGACTGTGGTTCTCTTACTGGAGTCATAAAAATGACATTGGAGACTTAAAGTGGAGCAGCTTGCAGCATTTTCTGTAGTTAATCTCCCACAGCTAATCATGAAAGCTTTGAGATGCAATAAATACTGCTGCAGAAGTAATGACGGGAGTGGTTGTTGTTTAGGACAGCTAATCTGTGACTCTCTGACATGATTAACCCTGTCATTCAATAAAATCTGCTGATGGACTTTAAACCTGCAAGCTTTCAGTAAATATTCAGTTCAATGTATGGATATTTTGATTAAGAATCCAGTTTAAATCCCTGTCGAGCCACTCCCAAGAACAAAGAAAAAGAAAAAAAAAAAAAAAAATCCTGATTTCTTTTCAATAAATATTACATTAACCAAGAACTCCAACATTTATAAATTTATATGGCATCAAAGAAAATTTAAATGAAAAGTCCGGTCTGCATGGAATAACCAATGGGTCATTATCTACACCTAAAACTAATACGTTCGCAGTGATTTAATGAATTTAGCATAAAATCAGTAAAAAAATGTAAATTATTGTTACTGCAATCACTGGGTCCGGGAGCAGCCATTTTTGCCCAAATATAGCAACACCTCGCTCCTGACATCTTCCAGCAGTTACATCACGGTGCGGTAAGCCAAGCGCCATTCTCCCCGCTTTACAAGCAAAATAAGTGGCAACTAATAAACACATCTGCAATGAACAACAATTATTTAAGAGTTCGAGAGGACTTCACCGTTGAAATTTGCAAGAGCTATAGTTAAATTTACAATGCCCATATACATGGTAGTTGGATGTTGTAATACATCGGGTAAAAGTGAAACAAAATTTGTAATTTCACCTTTCCGATTCATGACCAACCACAGGTTCCTCGTTCGATTGCCATTGAACTTCTGGCCAGAGAAAAAACATGTAATATGTAGTCAACATTTGGAAGAAGAATGTTTACAAAATGACTTTGATAATAGCGCGTTGTGACAAACACCAGATACAGCACTGGGACTTCATCAACAGCCGATACCGCACCGTGATGTCACAAACCGTTTGATGGCAGAGTTATGTTCTTTGACAAACAGATGTCTTCAATAAAGCACATTAAAATGAAAATTAGTCTTAATTAAAAACATTCATCATTTATTTAACAGCATGTAATAATTTGATATTTAAAGTACTTTCAGAAGTTTGAATTCTGAATATGACTGGACTGTTCCTTTAAATTAAATATATTCATGGGCGGCTGGCTCTCCATCAACCTGCACTACAGGGCAGAACATATTTCCAAACATCCTTTTTCATCTTTGTGGTAAGAAGAGGGAAGGGTAGGAAACTTATAGCCCGTAGCTGACCAGCCGTGTGCAGCAACAAGTGGAGGAGGGGCAGGGCTGTGTAACCACACATTCCACAGCTGAAAGAAACTCTAATCAATCCCGCACTTTCTCTAACCACATTTGAAATGGACTATCATAATCCGCTGTAACTCTTTAAAGACTGGTACGGCTTATTTGGCTTAAAACTAAAGCGGTGGAATCATTTTCATCACACCGAGAAAGTCTGAAATGAGTCCATCTGTTGTTTTGATTACAACACCCCAGTTAGAAATCATGCTAAAAAGCCAGGACTGCTACAAATAGCTGGTAACTATCTGGATCAGTCATGTGAACGAGCTGAGAGGCTGGTTTCAGTCTCAGTTCCAGCCTCTGGCTCTACAAGCTGTTTGCTATTAAGGCCATCTGCTGAAAAAGAAACCGGCTTCAGAAAGCGGGAGCCAGGCCACCTGTCTTAGTCACAATCATATGATGGCAAAGAGGACTGAGACAGCATCACATGAGATGCTTTAGCCAGTGCTCTGATTTAAACCTAATTCCAGACCTACGCTGGGAAAAGTAGTTCCAGCTTAAGAAGGTATAGAAGAACCCCATAGCTTGACCAAGGACAGGATGAACATACGTATATAAACCATAAAGCTCAGCAGCTGCGTTTCTGGTTCAAGTTGAGGTTTGGTTTAAGTACCTTCTTACCAACAAAGCTTCACATTCTAGAAATACTTAGCATATAAAAGGTGACTACATTTTTATCTTTGCAACATTTTTGCCCTATTTTTTGTAAAGGTTAGGGACAAAGTGTTCAAAACCGCCAGCATCAGATGATAAATAAACATGCCCAAGCCTGAACATTTTAAAACAAGGAGGAAACTATCCTTTTCACTTTGTGTTAAGAATTTCTTGTTATCTTTTCGGCTAAAAAAGCTATGTCACTCCATACCCACAGATAAAAGTCAGTTCATTAGAGAAGGAAAAGTGCAGATGTGAGATAAGCCTTCTTGGATATTGTGGACAAAAAACTGTCCGGTCTGATGGCTAAAAGAAAAGGAAACTACTTCTTATTTCCTTCTTATCAAATATTTCATAATCAGCCATTTGGAAATATTTCTAATCTCCAGAAACACAAAAAGTTAAGGTATGACACTGTAATGCTGATTAATGACTACAGTTAGTGAGCTTCTTGCAGCATGTCTACCAAGCAGCCCAGCTACCTGAGCAGCTAAAGTCGGGCGTACACTGTGCGATATTTTTAATCGTTGCAGCTCAAACTGTACGACGAAACAAAAGGGTTTAAAAGTTCACAGCACATGATGCATGTTTTCATACTGTGCGGCCCCACGCTCTGATGCGACCCTGGTCGCCCCTCATTCTCTCCTGTATACTATGGGATGAACAGCGACGCTGAAACTTGGCCTGAACGAAAAACGATCGTACGACTGAAGAATCGACCTGAAAAGGGCAAAAACAAATCGTACAGTGTATGCCCGGCTTAATAGTACTTTCTTAACTGACATTATTATTAAAATAGTTCAATTAAAATCAGCAGCTATTTATTATATACATCTCTAATGAAGTTATATTTTGCAGTAATAAATATTTTAGAATAGCGGAGCTATTTAAAGAACATGTGAAATGAAATGCTTTTCTTTAAAAAATAAAAAATATTTGATGATATTTAAGATTTTATTTTTAAATCTTCAAGTAAACACATAATTGCTATTTTTTTGTTTTCCGATACACTGTCCCCTTAAAACAGCTTTTTATTCAAGGCTCAAATAAAGTGAGTTATGCTTCCATCAAATCTTAGAACATCTCATAGCCTCTTTATTCCACATGGAGACATGACTTGTGTATTTTTATTATTTTTAAGAAAAAATTTGCATTTGCTGCCTTACTGGTGAATATTTCTTACTATTGAGTTGCAAACTTTATTTAATTTAAACTATGGCTGCAACTAATGATTATTTTGCAAATTGAGTAATCTGTTGAGTATTTTTTCGATTAATTGATTAATAATCGGATAGCCAACGGTTCCATAAAGAAGTTTTCTTTAAAGAAATGAAACCAAGTGAAACTAAGGAGTTCTGGATAGAGCATGTTGATGGAAAATTATGATTTTTTTTTTATCTTAAATGTAATACGTTTATATACTTTTTAACATTTTTTATATTACTGCTCTGAGTCAGTCGCTCAGTCAGCTAAAGGCATCTCTACACTTTACTCAGTAAACGATTAAATTGATTACTAAATTAGTTGATTATTGCAACAATCGATTAATCTGATTATTTCAGCCCTGATTTGAACATGACACCTTTGAGTATAAAAAAAAACTGTTCAGTATTTTTCTCATTTGTCAATTTTGTTCCCTTATTTAAAGCTGATAGTTTCCCCAATATATGACAATAGATGAGGTTTGATCTAATCTAATCTGATTTTTATAATATCAGAATTAATTTGTTTTTATTTCAGCTCAATAAATGCTGCTTCAGCTGCAAGGGCGGTTTTAGACAACAGGGGCCAACAGGGGCCAGTAACCTTGTTAAACTAGTGATGGCCCCAGTACTGAAAACATCTAAATAAAAGTATGTATATTTTCCTTTAATTGTATTTTCAGCTGATTTTAAGAGGAATTTGCTGATGAAATAAGATGTTTTAGGTTTAAAACAAGAAAAAAACTTTAGTTTCTTATTTCAACTGGATAAAATGGAGTAACTTCAAGAGCAGAAATACTATTTCCTTAGGCAGATGGTCTTATTTGCTTGCTCAAATTAAAGGCAAATGCACTGATTTTTTATTTTAGGATCAGTTTTTGACATTTAATACTAAACCTGTTTCTTATGATGATGTAGAGTGAGAGAAAGAAGCATGGTTATTTAACTAAAAACATTATAAATCAGTGTAAACCTGATCTCTGCTGAGATTAAACATAATTCAGCGTTTTATGGCCTTTTTTTAACTCAACTTCTCTAAAAAAAATAGATGTCAACTGAAATATTCCTACGAATCTTTAAAAGTAAAAAGAAAAAACAAAAGTCTGTGAAAAAAGGGCGTGTCTGTAGTTTTAACAGAAACATTAAGGAAGCAACACATGGCAGAAAAAACAAACTTGTTGTGATGTTTTTACCTTTAGGTGAAACTCCTTGTCAGCTGTGCGGACCTCGAACTGGCCCTCCTCTCCCTCTATGTCGTACATGAAGCAGGCATCGCCTATATCGATGTGTCCGAGAGGCAGGGCATCTTGGGGAGTCTTGAAGTAGTACAAGTAACATTTCCTTTGGTCATACACGAACCACCGCAGTTTGTAACCCCTGAGGGGCCCCTTTCCAGAGAGTTTGTTCAAGTAGCCGCACAGCTTGGAGGCCTGCTCCTTCGCTCCCTCCACCTCCGGCACATCTAAAGACTTGAAGGACTGCAGCCGTGAAGCGGGGCACGAGCTCTCCCCGCCGCCGTCCTCCTCTTCATGCATCTTTCCTCTGAGTTTCTTCTTCTTCTTCTTGCAGCCCAGCCGATGACAACTCGTGGATCCGTCCGCATGACTGCCTCCCCCCCGAACAGGGGAATGCTGGGAAGTGAAGTCCGAGCAGACAATGACGTGTCAACAACAGGTATGGGTTTCAGGGCTGTACTGTATAGGAGGCACCACAAGGGGGTGCTGTTTAACAAGATGGGGAAAATGATGGAACAAATACGGCAATAGATTCATACTCCCTAATATATGTGTGCTTGTTTTTTCCTTTTTTTTGTTTGGGTTTTGTTTGTTTTTATTTTTTTGTTCTACTGCTCCTCCACGTTTTTCAGGTTTATATACATCTGATGCCGATACTTTGTCTACTGTATAATTGGTTTACAAAAAAAAAAAAAAAGATTTATACTTCCTGCTTAGTGGAAACTACGGAAGAGGATTAGGACCACTGTAAAACACAATATTAAAAAGTTAACTGTTAAAATGTTATGTCAGTTTAATATGGGGAAAAAAGTTAGAATTCTGACTTTAATCTCAGAATTCTGACCTTTTTTTCTCAGAATTCTGAGAAAAAAGTCAGAATTCTGAGGGAAAACGTTTGAATTCTGACATTAAAGTCCGAATTCTGAGGGAAAACGTTTGAATTCTGACATTAAAGTCAGAATTCTGACTTTCTCATATTATACTGAAATAAAATTTAAAAATCTGTTAACTTTTTTTCAGTGACCCCAATCCTCTTCCGTTAAAAGCCAGATTAGGAGATAATTCAAATAAAAGTTTTTTTTTTCTTTTTTACTTAAACATATCATGATTGAAATTAACAGTTTCTTCCCCCCCAACATTTTTTTAGGCTTTTACTGTTATCCAACTCAAGCATAAACTTTGCCCCTCACGAACCAAGGCAGGAAGAATTATAATAAAATAAGAAATAGCTTTTTTGATCTCACAGCGGAGAAATTCACTTGTAACATCAGGATGAGTAAACAGGAGCTGCAAAAGAAGGAAAAGGTGCATGAAAGTAGTAAGTATACAAAGTCAAGCTAAGACAATAAAGAATAGAAATTTAAGGTGCCTTATATACAGAAAAGTGATCTTATGTACATTGTGAGATTTATTTTTGCTTCAGCCACAGTTCATCACATGGTTGGATTTGATAATGCATGATCCCTTTAAGAATAACTGAAAGGAAGGCTTGACATTCGTTTTTCTCTAAATGATTCAATGATCCCTCAACCTCTGATATACGTTCCTCCTTAAATATATATATATATATAGCACATACAGAACAATTTTGTTTCTGTTGTTTTGATATGGTTCACATGTTACAAGAACATGTTCAATGCACTGCATGTCCAGAGCTCTTTTACCTAAATAACTGCATCTATTATCATTTTAAGTTCAAAAAATTAGCTAGAACTCTAACAGCTTATAGATATTTTCCTTTAAGAATCGTACATCAATTACAATCAAATGAAATACTGGATGTCATACCTTTTATAACACTGATCACCTGGTTTTGACAGTTTATATCAGATTAATTTTATATGATTATTATTTTTTTTTTAAACTGATTATGATATAAAGTTATGCGTCATGGTCACAAATTATGAATTAGGAGTTAATGTAGCTTTATAATAAATATAATGAAGAAAACTATAGAAAATAATCAACAGAGGCATTTAGTAATGTGTTCGCTCTGATCTAGGCTAACACAGATTACACTAAAAGCTGATGGTAGTCAACAAGAAGACAAGAGAGCTTTATATGGGGTTCCATTTTCTGTCAAAAACTAAAGAGATAATATATATTTAGGTGTTGGTTAATGGTGTTGCTCTGTGTCTTTGCTTGATTGCTCTGGTCTTGGTGTTTTTTTATCCTGTGCTTTTGTTGCATATGCGTTTTCTGGATATGTATGTGGTGCACACGTAGATCCTGCCCATTATGGGGTGTTTTCATTTTCTGTCAAAGATTTTTGATATAATATTTGTAGATGTTATTTATTTTTTTAACCAAAGCAATAACTATACCAAAATTATTACTGGGAGTTTTAGTTTAGATATTGTTAAGATGATTGCCATCTAAGTACAAAGTGGATATATTTTCTGTGGGTCATCTTTCCTTCTCTCCCACACTTTCTCTGCATCTGTAATTCCATTCACCATAGGCAAAAAAAAAAAAAAAAAAGTAAAAGGTAGGGCAAAACAAAAAATATGCATTAATTAAAATACAAATATAACCTTATAAATAGTTTCTATTGTAAAGAAAACTTTAGCAGGTCTGTATCCCACCCCTCAGTTTTTGTAAAACTGTAAATATTGACGGTCAAAGCTGCTTTGGCCTGCACTTTTCTTTATATCACAGCTGTAATCTCTGCTGTGGGTGTGCAGTTAATGTATGTATTTCATACTGTGACTCATAACAAGAGAGGAGTGAGAGTTTAAGCTGCTGGAACGGCTTTAAGCCTACCCCCAAAAGGTAAAACAAACACACTGAAGTTATTCAGATGATTAATGGTTACAGACCTGTTATACCAGGGTGTATGTGGGCCCTGGTACAGTGAGTAAACAGAAGGTGACTGGTTTTAATGCTGGGAAATACACTTGTTTTTTTCCCTCATTATGAAGCAGAACTTGAGTACAGTGAAAAACCCTGAAGCACCTGTGTAACTGTCCCCGACTATAGGTTCTGATAACTGTCTGCTAAGATTTATATTCTACTCATTTAGGAAATCTTAAAGAGTTCAGGAGGTTGTTAGTTTTACTTCAAGGTTTGAAAAGCAGACACTGAACGCGGTTCAGTTGTTCTGACATTTTATGGGTGTCAAATTGTGACCTTTCAAAGATCCACATCCCCTCCTTTGAGAGGTGGGCTCGCATAAAACGACTGGAACCCAAATATGAGCCACAGGGGCTTTCATTTTATTTTTAGGAACTTTTTATTTTTATTTTCATCCGTTGAAGTCGTTTTTCACAAATCATGTGCACAGCGACGTTTGTTGAGTGGGATTTTTTGCAAAGATTGATGTAGCGATAAATACTGACCTCAAACCTCACATTTCCCCCCCAGGGGAGCAGGCTATGAATCACAAAGTGCTGTAAAACAGACAAGCTGAAGTGCTAAAAGTGTGATGAACTTGTAGGTTAAGTTACTGCAGCACGTGTTAGTCATATATGGAACATAAAGTACAGTTGTTATCTTGGTGCTTGTTCAACAGCTATAATTTATATGTAAAAAAAAATAAAAATCAGTGTAAATAAAATAATAAGCTATTGAAAATGGAAGAAAAAAATAAATCTACTTGAAAATAATTCTACTTAAAATAATTGTAGTAGCTAAACATGCTTTACTCCTAACGGTTGGTGTATAAAAAGGGTTGTTATTTACGATGTATTGTAAAAGAACCTTCAGACCTTCATTAACATATTGTTGCAAAACACACTAATTGAACTTGTTTCTAAAATTTTAAATGTGCAGCATTAAAAACCAGAAGTGAAATAATCTAATTTATTATATTCTGACAAGAGACAGGTGATTGCTGATTGGTGTTTCTTTACTCTTCTGTTTTTAAGGAAATTAATATGAATATCTATATTTAAGGAAATTTAAAAGAATAACATTTTGTTGTATAAAAAATACAACGTATGCATTTAACTGCAAGGCCTTTGAACACACTCATTCCATTACACTACATCGTTGGATAACAGACATGTTGACGTTCCTTTAAAGTTTAATAGATTGTTTGTAGGAATCAGTTAAATGAAAGGGGAGAATAAAATCTGGTCAAATGAGAACCAGAGGGAACCATTTCCAGAAGATGTTTAAAGGAATAATGGCACCTCACCTCACAAACACCACACCATCAGTGAGCTTTGGAAGTGATGTCATTGTGATGTGCTTCAGCATAGTGACAGACTTCATGTAATTGGGTTTAGGATTAATGGAGAAATGCAGCAGGATCAGTTCTATTAACAGTCAGAAGATTAAATTAAAATTAATGGATGTCTAATTTTAGCTACAGAAATGTGGGTTGTAGAGAAATAAAACAAAGCTGCAACAATTGATGACTTAAGTATAAATTAAAATTTTGCATAAAAATAAGGGTACGTTAAACCGGACTACGGATAATTAGAAGTTTAAAGAGTTTATGTGGAAAACTGTCACTATCACTGCTTCTGTGTTCAACTACTGTGCTTTAAGACAATTTATTTTACATTTTTTCTTTTTTTAACTAGTTGTTAAACATGGTTATGATCGTCACACAATTTCAATACCAGGCCAGATAATATGAGAAAGAACTAATTATAGCTTTTAAATGTATTTAGATGATAAATATTCAATCAGGGAAAAAAGGATTACTGCCTAAACCCAATAGCTTTTTATTTCATCGTTATTGACAACAACAGCCATCAAAAGTATTTACATTAGCTAGTAATGAGTGTTCAACATCACTGAAGCAATTCAGACCAATTTTTCTTTAGAGAAATGTTTCACATTGAGAACAATGGAGGGTTATTTAATATCAGACTTTGATTAGACACTTTCTGCCACGCAGAGGTGGTTTTATTGGTCTGCCATAAGATCACTGTGGCTGTTGAATGACACAAGTGGGCTTAAGCATAAGGTCAGAGTAATGTCATTAGATTTGCCCTCCAACTAAACATCAGAACCCACAGTTGCATCAATAAGAGCAAGTGCTCCAAGTTCTAGATTATCAGCAGAGCCCTAACCCATCACATTAATACCGTTGTATTTTCATTTATTTATTTCTTTTGAGCAAAAAAGGAAATATAAAGGCAAAATAAAACCAAAGAAAAGTTCTGTTTTTGCTTCCTTGATCCTCTGAATATTTGTTTTAACAGTCTCGGGGATTATAAAGTTGTTTTGTGAGGTGAGTAAGGCCAGCCTTTTTTCATTCTACATCTTAGCCCTTGGAGCTTACCTCTAAGTTAAGTAAACACTGACCTTAAAAGTATAGTGAAGGACGTTCTTTTTCTGTATGGATTATTAAAATAAGTGGTCGTCCTATTTGTCAATCATTCTCGTGCTATGTTTACGTAAGGCCGCACTACGTACTCGTCCCCATTTCCACTT